CAGAACCCTAATAGAAAAAAGAATCCCTTTTTAGTCCCGACGTCCAAATCCCGAACAAGTCCCAAGTGCCAAATCCCAAAATTTGGCCAAAACGGGTCAAAACAGGGACTTGGGATTCCGGGATACCATGGCTCCTGAATCCCAAAACAATCCCTTTGAACTCCCTTTTTAGTCCCAAATGTTCCAGACGATCGCGCAGCGACCAGCCGCGCGGGCCTGGCGGGTGCCGGGGACGCGCGCTCCTCCTTCCGCAGGGCTAGCACGGTGGCGCTGGGGCACGGCACGGTGGACGCGCCTCCAGGATCTGCTCCAGGTGCGGCGCCGTCGAGCGAACCCTAGCACCTACCCCGGCGAGCCAGCGGCTTCGCGGTGGCGCCTTCAGGAACCTGCCTGGACGCGACGGCGGCGGCGGCAGCGGCGGCGGCGGCGCGGCGTCGCCACGCCCGCCCCCTCCCCCCTCCCCCTAGCGGGCGAGCAGGGTGGCGGTGGGCCTCCAGGACCTGGTCCTGGACGGCGGCGGCAGCGGCGTCGCGCCCGCCCCCTTCCCCCTCTCCCCCCCGGCGGGCCCGGGGTGGCGGTGGGCAGGACCTGGTCCTATGGACGGCAGTGGCGTCGCGCATCCCCCCCCCCCCCTCCAGAAGGCTAGCGCGGCCACGACCGCGGCCGCCGCGGCCGGCCGTGGACCTGGTGCGCATAGCATGCCGCACCCGGAGGCCAACACGGTGGCACTCTGGTAGGGCTCTAGGACCACGGCATCGCATACGTGCAGCCCGGCCGCGGCCCCCAGCATCCGGTGGCCAGATAGCACGGCGGCGGCGTCTCCAGGACCGCGACGGCGCACACCCGCTGCCCGTGCCCAGCTCACGCACCTCCCACAGCCAGATGATAGCACGGCGGTCCGCCGGCAGCGCGTCTCCAGGAGCAAGACGCCAACCTGCAGCACGTCAAACGACCCCGCACCCGCGCGGCAAGCACGCCAGCCGGCAGCGCGCCTCCAGGAGCAGACGACGGTGCACAGCTGTGGCAGAACCCAAAGTCCAGCAGCTGGCCGGCGGCTGTGCCTCTAGGACTCCTTTCTCCAGGTGCAGCTCTACTTGGACCTCTCGTTCCCTACGGGCTTGCTCCCCTCTGATCATCTTGCTGCAGAAGCGGTAACTGGCGAACATCTTCCAGGACCTTCAACCAATTTTCCTCCTCTATATGCTATCTTTAAGTTAAAGTGTCTTATTTAAAAAAGTAGGTATGAAATATAGTTATAAAAAATTAATAACTTTGCCTTTCTCTATTTTCCACAATGATCAAAGGACATGATAATGAGGAAACTGAAATCGTTTTTAAATGCTCAAAATTAAATGTATTAGTCAGACTTTAAAACAATTCAAAACCGTAGAACAATAGTACAAAGCCAGGTCGTCAAACTAAAATGAGTCGTAACAAAGTTAATAGCCGTTGCCATTGGAAGACTGCCTATCATCCCACCCGGGATATTGGGGATAATATGACTCTGGCGGCGCATGGAATGTCTGCAAATGAAAGAAAGCACTATAAACAATAAGATATTGCAATGATTCAGCTTCAAATTCACTGCCAATTGGCAGTGGGAAATTAATAGAGCAGTGTGTTCTCTTTCACAAGCCACCAAAAATTGTAAAAGAAAAAGGAGGCCAAAAGAAATGCCTTTAAGCACACTCAATAGAAAGTGACAATTTTTGTCCCATGCAAGATGCATCTGTATGCACATTTTGCAAGATGCGATTTTGAACCCTCACTGGTGACAAATTTCTTTCTCCTGGTGGACAAGATTTCATTTTGTCCAATTGGAGATACAAGTTTGTCACAGCTCAGGATTGAAAATTACACCTTGCGAGGTATATCATATATGCACACAGACACATCTTGCAATGGACAAAATTTATTCCTTGTCATTGCATTAAATAATTCAAATCGTTTACATATTTGTCTAAGGGCTTACCTGTTGAGGGTAATTTTGTTGATAATAGTGAGAATAGTTGGATTGCTGTTGCTGATACACAGGTTGAGCTGCAGAGGGCTCAGGATATGTTGGAGCAGAAAGATGATGGACTGCAGCTTGTTGATTAGGAATTGCATTCTGGCGTTGGGTTGGCCAAAGCCACTGCTGTGATTGTGGCATGGATGGCATGGGGGCATCAGAAGCATTGGGAACCTATAGAAAAAAAAGGAATTGTCAATCAGTATAGATTTAATATCTATCTTAACTAGGAGTAGAATTAATTTGAAAAAAAGAGGAGTTCCAAAATATAGAGGGGAATCAGGGAAATAAAAATGACATACCACAGTTGCTGTTGGAGGGGCAGGTCCAATATCTGTCACAATAAACTGTTCAGCTGGAGTCTTATTAGGAGTTTTCTTTGGTGTGATGGGACCCAAATTGACTTTCCTAGGAGATTTTTTAGGAGTGTTAGATCCTACACTTTTTAGAGGTGATTTTTTGGGAGAGCTAGAACCCACAGTTTTCTTGGGTGATTTAATGGATTTGGTACTTGATGCCTAGAAAAAAAAATAGTTTTAATTATAAAGATTATAGATATGGCAGAGCAGAACCAAAGACAGTTGAATGGCATACCTTTTTGGACTTGGAAGAATCTAATGGACTTTTGATAGACCCGCACTTTTTGTTAATGCAGGTAATGAATTCTTTCCAAGTTATCTTATCATTGCAATGATCATTTACAAATCCTTTAAATAGAAGACAAAATTAGTAATAGATCAGGTTACGTATGTGATCATGTTGCATCAAAATTTCAGAATGTGAAGCACCATACCATAAATAGCATTGAGGTCATGAGGCGATATCCCCAGTTTATCCCTTTTCCGGCCTAATGCTGTCATTTGGCTCAGTTGATCTTCTCCATACAGCTCGGTCAGAGTTTTACGAACAAACACAGTAGGCGTCTTCTGGCTTTTAGTATCAACAATGAGCTTGTTACGTCCACTTTTAAGGATTAACAGAGTAAACCCTTTCTTAAGAGGGACCTGCGAATAAAGATAATAATAAATGTCATGAAGTGACAAAACCTTCTAGCAGAAACAATTATAAATTATGACATTACCATTTTTTGATTCTCAAACATTTGTGGCTTGGCAAACCCCTTTCATTAGATGACAGATTGCAAAGAGAAAAAGACAGGATTACAATAAAACCAAAAGAAGTAAAAATAAATTTCAGATTCATTTGAGGCTTTGCATACAAGCAGCGACACTTCATTAAAAACTGTCAGCTATCTTGGACACAGTTGCACAAAAAAAAATTAACTTGACAGTGAAAAAGCAAAGATAAGATTAGAAACAAAAGTTGTAGTAACTTACATCACTGCTTTTAGAGGGTGTAATAGACGGTGGAGGTTCCGATTCAAATCCTAATTCAGTCATTAATGCCCGCAAGAATTGTTCGGTGTTGAAGTTACCTGCAAGCAAAAAGAATGTATAAATTTCACTCACTTCTTAAGTAATTAAGTGTTGGCTGGCAAACTGACCAAATAATTCCTTCAGAGATTTAGATGAGTTTTGCCCGCACTCTTCATTTTCATTGCCTGAATTCTTAGCCACAACCAACTCATCAACTTGCATGACAGCCGGCAAGTCCACTGGAGCTGTTTCCAAAGGTACATCTTTGCCAACTTGTAGTTCAACATCAGAATCAATCTCTTCATCGCTCATGAGATCATGTGAAGGCTTCGGTTTCTCACTACTAGGCTTATTGGGTTGCTCTTCATTAAAGTCAAGTCTTTTCTTTACCGCAGTTTCAAGAAGTTTACCATCTTCGCTTTTCTCAACAAGCATTCGGGCTTGTTCTTTCTTCTTTCTCTCAGCATTTGCTAACTTTTTGGCAGCTTCCTGTGGCCCACTGAGCACTGGCTTTTCACCCAAGGCTTTGCGGACTTCCTTTTCTGAGGCAACGCCAGGCACTTTCTTTCTCTCCTTTGATTTCCTCTTCTGACTTGGATTTGCTTTCTCTTTCTCCTTCATTTCTTTGTACAATTTTCTCTCTTCTGCCTCTATCTTATCCATGTCACCTAAAAAGTAAAATTAAAATATTGTGAAGGTGCTAACTGGAGAACAAATCAACAACTCTGTGCGCCTAATAAAAAGGTTAAATCGCCCAACCCACTGAAATAAGTTACTCCGGCCCGGATATCGATATTTACAGAAAATCTAAAAGTAAATACAGAGAAACACGATAGAACTATTGAAGAAAATGTGTAATGTGATGCAAGGATAGGGAATGACAAAAGGAAGTAAACCGTTAAGGTTAAGAGGCCACATTGTGCACAAAATGCCGAAGTGAAAGCACTCCCTGATAGTTCTATGGAGTTAGAGACGAAATAGTCAAAAAGTTTTAAGTACTTACTATTTATGGCAACGATTTTGCCCAGATACTCCTCTCCATCTGTCCAAGTTAGCATGGAGAGCGCGCCTACGAATCGATGCTCCGATGGTACTTTGGTAATAGGCAACACATCCCATGTACTTTCATTTACCCAATGAACTAGGCAATGTTGCGGCATGATAACTAGTTAGAACGCAGGCAATAGACAATCCAAATTCAAATTTACAGACCACGACCAGTACACGATCCCCACCCCACAGGCCTAGTCAGTCTCGCAGCTTCGTTCGCGCACGGCGTCTCTAACGGTCGGCGCAGAGTGTGGTGCGCAGTCGCAGTGCGGCCTCTCCCCGCCAGCGATCTGCGCGCTCCCCGCGGCCGTACGGCGCAGTAGGCCCAATCACAGTAGCAGACGTGTCGAACGCAAGTCAACAACAAGTGTCCATGGTGGAAGTTAAGAATATAATTGAAAGTTGATAATGTCGAAGCGTGGCCCTGGAGATTTACCGAGATCTACTCAATACCGGCTGAAGACTAGGGCCTATGAGTCAGCAAATTTAAACCAACACGATATCTCAAGCAATTCCTCTGAATCGGAAGACGATGCTGAAGGTTAGAAAGACACTGGCATATCTCTTTGCTCAAGTGTTTCAGTGTGCTGTCGTACTTCTAACATCTTGTTATTTCAACAAAAATCATTATTTTCTTTTAAATGTAATTTTGTATTTGATATGTTTCAGCAAATCAGCACGATGACAATGGCTCAGGAAATGACAGTGATGCTAACACAGTTTCAGAAGAAAACAATGAAAATGGAGATCCAGATGAGAATAACGATGTAGATATGGAAGAAAATAGTAATGATGATGCCAGTGTGGCAGAAAGTATTGATGATCAAGCAGACACAGATGAAAATGATGCTGAAAATGAATCTAATCGAGGTGGATCAGAGGCCGAAGCTAGTGATGGTCAAGAAATAGAAAACGAAGATGAGCAAGGTATGTGATTGAAACTGATTGGTCTGCTTTATTCTTCTAAAAGAAAACATATTGCCCCTATAGATCATCTAAACAGAATACCCATTATACTTAACTATATTTTTCTTCTATCAGATAATAATCCTGAACAAGATGAAGAGGCGGATAATTTTCTCCAGCAAGCAGATGTTAACGCAGACTCAAGTGAACAATCAGACAGTGATACCGACTCGGAACCTAGTAGCAGTGGAAGCAGCACTGAAGACACATCTGAGAGTGATGGTGACGATGATGAAGAAGAGCAAGAAAGATTAGATGGAGATGTGCCTTTGTATGAAAACGCTCGCTTGTCAGTCATTGAATCTGTTATACTAATCCTCACTTTAGCTTTACGGTTTAGTTTAACTGGTGAATGCATTACCAGTTTTCTTGAAACAATTGAGTTACACTGTCCTATTCCTAATCTATGCATTACTACTTTGTATAGATTCAAGAGTTTCTTCAAAGAGATTGGTCGAGAGACTCTCATTCTTCATTACTTTTGTGAATGTTGTTTTTCAGAATTAGCTGGGAAGGACAGTGTTTGTGAAAATTGCCAGGAAAATACTGAAGTGGCTTTCTTTATAGAGATTCCTATAATAAGACAGCTACAGAGATTGTTCCTACGCCCAGGTTTTGTAGAAAAGCTACTGTTTAGATTTCAGAGAGTAAAAAAACATGAAGATAATATTGAAGACATTTACGATGGTAATTTATATAAGGAGCAAACTGCAAACAATGGAATTCTCAGTGGAAGGCACAATATATCCTTAACCTGGTACTCAGATGGTATTCAGATTTTCAAGTCAGTCAAATATGCAGTGTGGCCATTGTTTTTTGTAATTAATGAGCTCAGCTACAAGGAAAGAACTTTGAAAGAGAATATTATTCTGAGTGGTCTTTGGTTTGGGAAATCAAAGCCAAAACCAAATCTATTTTTAAGACCATTTCGTGCAACGTTTGAAACATTCAAAAATCAAGGTTTTAATTTTAATGTCCCGGCAGGACCACAGATCAATGTCAAGGGAATTTTAATATGCGGCACATGTGATCTTCAAGCCAAAGGTATTTTTCTTAGAACAAAATTGTACAATGGTTTTTATGGCTGCAATAGATGCCGTTCAGCTGGAGTGAGAGTGCCTGCTGGTAGAACCACAGTTCATGCCCACCCATATGTGCCTCCAGAAAACATTGAACATCGGAACATAGGTGAGGTTTTGAACTCTGTTCGCATTGCTCATCAGACTGGCAATGCTCATTTAGGTTACAAGGGTCTTTCCCTCCTGTATTATATGATGGTAAATATGCTCAGAGGATGTTCAATCGACATTATGCATTTGGTATTCCTTGGAACTTGTAAGCTTCTAACAAAGTTGTGGTTTGATGTTAAATTTGCTGCTGAGCCATATTCTTGCTACCGGTTGATTGCTACTGTAAATGCTAGACTTTTAAAGATTTGCCCTCCTAGCTTTGTTCAGCGAATGACAAGAACCTTAGAAGAGCTAAAGCTTTGGAAAGCCAAAGACTATAAATTATGGTTTTTCTACTATTCACTTGCTGTTTTAGATGGTATTCTAGATAATGTGTATTTGGTTCACCATATGAAACTTGTGTCTGCCATATCATTGTTGTGTCAGGAAAGTATTTCTCCTGATCAGTTAGACAGAGCTGAAGTAATGCTGCATGAGTATGTTCGCCAATTTGAGAGGCTTTACACTATGAGGTTCATGGGAATGAATGTTCATCTACTGCTCCATTTAGTTGATGTTGTGAGAGATTTGGGGCCCCTGTGGGTGTACTCATGTTTTTTCTTTGAAGATCTTAACGGCCAACTGGTTAAGCTTATCCACAGTCCTCACCAACCTGGACTTCAAATCTGCTCTAGTGCCTCTATGTTTATGAGTTTTAAGTTGCAAGTTGAGAAACTTCATCCTGATTCCCTTGCAAAAAGGTTTTGCTTGAAAATACAGGAGTCCACATGCAAACTAAAAACTATTGAAGAAATTAATGCAAAAATGTTTGTGGTTGGTCACAATACTGTGAGGCTAAATGTACCCAATCACATCATTGATTTAATTATGAATCAACAACAAGGAATTATTGGTGGTCATTTTCAATCTTTTGCCAAATTAAGGAAAAGTGGTGTTGTATTTTGTTGTGCTAATAGACCTACAAGAAAGAAACGCTGCTCACATTTTGCTTGTTTTAATGTTGACAATGTACCAATATTGGGTAAAATCAAACACTTTGTAAGATGGTCAAATTGTAATTGTAACGTGATTTGTATTTGTCAGCCAGCGAGATTCTTTTGTATTGTACAAGTTTATGACCGTGTTCAGTGGTATGCTCATGGTGTACCTCGTGTAAGTATTTTTCACTTATCTGCTGTAGTACCATCAGACAGGGAGCTAGTCTTGAACTGTGACCAGATTCTGAGTGTATGCTTCTACATAGAATTAGATAATGCAATGTACCTAGGTACTCCTGTGAACAGACTAGAGTATGAATAAAATCATTCCAATAAAGTGAGACAAAACCTTTATTTTAATTTCAAGATAATCATTGTATTTAGTTGCTCATACCAAATTTTCAAACAACCCTAGGGGACACATGATAGATATAACAGGTAGAACAGATGTTTTATTTAATACAGCATGACTTCATATTTGAAAAGCTAGTAAAGAAAACATGGCACTGAATGTAGATACTTTATTTTTTGCTACTAAAGGCCCAGTTGTATTCTGCAATGTCCCTCGCTAACTCCCCATAATAGTGTTGTCTCTGACCAAAATGAATAAAAATAATTCAATATTTTGATTTGGTATCTATATTATCCTTATTCTAAGCTGATCATTATCAAACCAGCAACTTACATTGAGAAACAAAAATGACACCACAACTTAGTTTCAAAAATCTACAAATAGTCTGGCACGTTTAAGGTAGTAACAAGATTTCTATCATTTCCAAGGAAATTTCGACTTGAAGTAGTCATCACAATTCTGTATTCAAAAGGAGTGCGTAGTATTAAATAGGGTTCTAAAAACTCTTCTGAGCTGCATATGTCCTTTCATTTCTTATTAACCAAGTTCAAAATTCATTGCGTTGACAAAAATGAGAGTTACGGTGTTGTGATAAGTTCTGATGATAACTTTAATCGAAGGGAAGAAAAACAAAAATGAAACATTTTCCCACAGGTGATTCTGGATCAATTTTCAGTTGTCTTTTGAATAGTGTAGTCAGAGTTTTCTGCAAAGGTTCATAGAGCTTTCTCTACACCAACAGTGAAAGCCGCTGTTTGCTGCTTAAAACTTATGAGATTCTGTCTCCTAAAACGTTTCAGCTACCGAGCCCAGATGTTGAGTAGGTCCATAACACATGCAAACCTTTTATTTTTGAGCCAAAACCAGAATCGGTGCCCAGATCCGAAATCTAAAGACTATTGGGGAAAGTGTTACCCTATACTTGCAAGGCTGAAAAGAAACCATGACACTAGATGACATACCATTTTTTTTCTAGGTGGGACCTCAGTCAATTGTATAAAAATCCTCATGCAGTCACTCGCTCTGTCCTTAAAAAAAATTAATGCACATGTTTAGTAATTGACTACAGGTGGCAGTGGTCTCAGGGGCCTTCCCCGTGGGACTGTCTGGGCGAAAAGAGGGGGGGGGGGGGTCTTCTCCAATGCGACCAGAAGCGACATCGACACCAACTCTAGGAGTGCACCGTCGTGATCCTGGAGGCGCGCTGCCGGCCGGCCGCCCGGCTGCTGCTGCAACGTGCTCTAGAAGTACGCCGTCACGGGCGAGAACACCCCA